TTAGCGCCGCGCACATGCGTCTCAAAAGTCGGATGGAGGGCGATTCCTTTTCAAAATGTTTTTCTCGCCTTAGCGCGGCGCGCATTCGCCTTAACAGTTTGCGGCAGTTTCAAAGGTTCTCATGGTTAGCGTCCCAGAAACGGCGTTCTGGCACGATGTCGAAATGTCAAGGCGCAACAGTCACGTGAATTCGCGGTGTTGAAGTCCCAGAAACTGCGTTCTGGCACGATTGGGAATCGTCTAGACGCAACACTCATGGTGATTCGCGGCGTTGAAATGGCGTTCTGGCACAAGTCCAATAAAAACAACCCGTAGAGGAGCCTTTGAAGAGGGAGCTTGGAAGGAGGGGTCATTGCAATATTGTTGATGGATCTTGGGTTTACACAGGTCATGTTTTCTCATCCTGCCTCCTCCTCACCACCATCTTCATCACCATCATTTTCAGCACCACCATCATCATCAGCATCAGCATCAGCATCAGCATCATCATCATCATCATCATCATCATCATCAGCATCAGCATCATCATCATCATCATCATCATCATCATCATCAAACAATCAGCATCATCATCATCACATCCTCATCATCATCAATCATCATCATCATCATCATCTTCATCCATCGACATCATCATCATCATCATCATCATCATCATCATCATCATCATCATCATCATCATCATCATCATCATCATCATCATCATCATCATCATCATCATCATCATTATATCATCATCACCACAATCCAGCATCACCACCACCACCAATTATCCTGGCGAAGGACCCAACCACATGCAAGTGTGAGAACCGCAGGCGTGCGCCGAATGGGGCGGTGGTGCCAGAATGGGGCGGTGGTGCCATGCGAACCCTGTCACTGGGGCCTTTGGAAGAGTTCCCTATGGGGCCACGAACCGTGTGAGAGGTGCGCCAGAATGGGGCGGTGGTGCCATGCGAACCCTGCCACTGAGGCCTTCGGTGGAGCTCCCTATGAGGCCACGAACCGTGCGGGGGGGAGGCGCCAGAATGGGGCGGTGGTGTCATGCGAACCCTGCCACTGGGGCCTTCGGTGGAGCTCCCTACGGGGCCACGAACCATGTGAGGGGTGCGCCAGAATAGGGCGGTAGTGCCATGCGAACCCTGCCACTGGGACATTCGGTGGAGCTCCATATGGGACCACGAACAGTGTGAGGGGTGCGCCAGAATGGGGCGGTGGTGCCATGCGAACCCTGCCACTGGGGCATTCGGTGGAGCTCCCTGTAGGGCCACGAAACTTGTGAGGCGTGCGCCAAAATGGGGCGGTGGTGCCATGCGAACCCTGCCACTGGGG